CTGTACACAATTACCTTTGCAAAGTGGGCCTCAGCTCTTTCAGAAAGAAAACTGGAATTCTCTGTGAAGTTAATCCATTTGGGAGATGCTTGTGAGGAGTGGTGGCAAAGATGCAGCCACATTTTTAGAAGCAATCCACGCATATTTGTGGTTTAACCACACAGATTATGTCTTTTAGGATTTTAAATGAGAAAAAAACTATGACAAAAGCAACAAGATAACTTTTAAAACATTCTCAAAAACGATTAAACAATTAAACATTTTTAATCATGATTGCCAATTCCATGAGAATTTTCCTGCTCTCTCTTGGTTTCTTTTGTTTGTTTTCTTGTTTTCAAGCTGCAACTGGGTATTTTCTTGGCATGAAAATAAATGTGTGCATCACTTACTGTCTCTAAATCCAAGTTTACCACATGATAACACGATGGGATGAAAATTACCAGGGCCAAGCAGTAGTCTCTTTTGAAGTCAATCATGCGGACTTAAGTTGTAGGAAGCCTCTCAGATTAAATGCTGATATATTTTTGTTGAAATATAAGTCATCAAAAAAACCCAACAAAACCAACAAAAAACCCAACAAAAACAAACAAAAAACCCACAAAAAAACCAAACCCCAACCCCCCGCCCCCAACAACCAAAGCACCACATTAACTATTGGTTATTTCTGCTATCAGCGAAATAACCAATAATCTGTGCCACTCAATCCAAAACTAGGACTGAAAATATTGTTCAAAATAATCTTGAATGCAATTAAACCCTAACAATATTCTGACAAAGTTTCTCTTGAAGACAAACGAAGCAAAGCCCAGTACCATGTCGTAAGCTGGGAATTCTAAATTCTGTATTGTTTCTGTCAGCAATTTGCTGAGTGATCCTGAGGGCATTGTTCAATCTCAGCTCCCCATGACCTGGAATTAGGACCTGAGCTAAATGGAGCTCTGTCAGAAAGTGCTTTTAAGTATTATTGATCAAAAAGTTTATATTTATATTCATTCATGCATGCATTACAATCACAGACTATATTCAAATGAATAACATTTAACTTTTGACCTTCATTTTATCATGGCCATTGTTAGTTCAGCCATATGCTCACTGTTCAAATATTTTTTTTCAGAATCTTAAAAGGCCCACTTTGGTAGAAATGTGCTTTAACACAGAAAAAAGAAGTTCACAATTAAATGTAAGCTGGGCATCAAGCTGAGATTTTGAGGAGGTAAACTCCACCCTCTCCAATTCCATTGTTGCCTTTCACTTTGATTCAGATATTGAAAAACTGCATTTTATCAGTCAAGATGTCAAGCACATATTTCTTACAAGATTTCAACCTTTCAGATAGGACAATATTACACAGTATTACACAGCTCTAAGGACTTGTTCTGGACAGCTCCTAAACTGTTAATTTAAAAAAAAAAAAAAGTCTGTTTTTGTAGTTGTTTGGTCTTAAAGTCTTGTTTTAAGATCAGATACCCCTCTGCCCAAGCCATGGAAACAAATCCCAGGGCAGGAGAGGGTCACTGTCATGCCCAGAGAACCCCATCTCTCAAATGCTTCCTCCTGACCCATAAAAAAACAATTAACATCTTTTTACTTTTAATTTTGACCACAAACTTTCCACCTGAAAAGAGAACCTGGTTGTTCTTTGCTGCCTAATCTGTCTAGGGAGTCCTCCTTCATCTCACAATATTTGGGCACCTTTAGTTCCACTGCTCCTTCCTGGATAAACAGTATTTTGAAGAAGGCATGTCACCATCACGAAAAATGTCAATTTTGCTCTGTGGCAGAACCAGTCACTGTCTTTGAATAATTCAGAGAGCAAGACCCATTTGCATGGGTGGATGCAGTATTTTTTCTGCTTGAAATCTTTTACCAGCAAACACACTTCCAATTTAGCATCAGGACTACATTCAATTGTGGCAAGCTAAAGCAGCCAAAAAGCAGAAATACGAAAATAAATATAGCAAATGGTCCTCCATAACTAAAGAAACAGCACTCTGAAAAAAACCAAACTAAAAAATAGATTATTTTTGTCATTCAGTTACAGGCAAATGCAGAAAAGCATCTGCCTAACAGTCTCCATTTTGTCCAAGCAATACATCACTTACCTTTTGGTATTCTTCTCTAAAGAACAAGTAAAACTGTTTTGATTCAAGTTATTGGGGCAGAGAGACAATACCATGTTTTGAAATTCCTTTCAAGATTTCCAGAAAATACTGGAAGCTCCCCGTAATTACAGAAGCAGCTGTGAGCTAGAGAAATGAAACTACACAAATCTGTATTGTAATCTCAAGGCTATAAATACTTTTATCCATTATTATTTTTAACCCACTTTCTGAAACAAAGGTCTGCTAGAGATCAGTGGAAAAAGAAACAGAATGGGGAGATCAGAGTCTAAGGCTGTAAGCAGCAAGCCCTTAAAAATAAAGTAAAAGAGATGCTAAACACATATATTTGACAACAAAAAGCAGTGTATCTTTCCTTTATGTACTGGTTTCACTGCATTATCCCTTTGTCAAATGCACTTTTAGCACTGGATATAACAAACCTCCCTGGCCCACAGAAACATGACTGACCTAAAGCTAAAGCTCATGTGAAAGGTGTTGATGGCATTTCTAACAGCTTCCAAAAACCTCAGAGGCAGTGCAAACACTGTTTTGGCAGCAATCTGTAACCAACAACAAAAAAGACAGAGCACCTTCTTCTGACAGAACATGAAACGTGCCCTCATAACACCTTACCCCCAGCACACCCCACCTCTGCAGTGTTTTAGAGACCATCTTTTGGAGAAGCATGAGCAGTCTTCAACAGACATTCTTGAACCAATGGCATATTTAATCCCCTCAACATTTACAGGAGCAATAGCCAGAAGGGAAATATTTTATGTTCTGTTTCCTCCCCTTCTGTGTCTGCCAAAGATTTATTGAACACACAGACCTACTTGACACTTCCTTTGCACTAATTTGTAGCAGAAGAGCATTGCAGTACATTTATATAAACAGAAACAACCTGATAATAGAAGCTGCTACAAGAACTTGAAAGCTGAAAAGGTAACACAGAAGAATATAAAGCACACCATTGTTTTAGTTAGGTAAATGTCCATTTAAACAAGGGCTTTACATAATTTAATTCAAAGGAACCTACAGTTTTATTTTCCCAAAGGTATATCTCAAAGAAGTTATTTGTGTAGAGATCTCAATTACTGAAATGGGAATATATCACCATTCCAATGTGTCATCAGATCTGTCCTTCACAACAATGGAAAACTTGCAGTGGTGCATTTGATAAAATTAGAGTGAGGCCATCTCTGTGTATGTGTGTGCTACTAAGATAAAACCCCTACTGGTAAATCCGAATCACTACCATGCTTGGCAGCTCAAGATATTCACAAAACTTTTTTCAGCCCCTAAGCACTATATCATATTTATGTTTAAGGACAGTTTTACTTTAAAATCATTTTAGTTTCTAAATTACATTAAACAATCCTATTATTTTGCAGTGATAACGTTTTCCAAAAGTATACAGCCAAAAATTTTATCCAGTAACTCTACATTCATTAATGGTATGTTAACACATCTTAAAGTCCTTCCCCTGGTGTTAGCCACATCTTTCTAGCGATAAGGCATTTGAGAATGGGAGCAAAGCAGGAGCCTTACATGCCACTCTAAATGTGAAACACTAATTCTGTTCCAAAAAGATATCCAAGGGCAATGATACTGCCCCAGCAAACATCTGTGTGGCAGCTTTGTGCTGCCAACAGCAAAACTGAGATGTTTTTCAGCACATACATTTATTACTTTTGAAGGTCAAACATTTTATCAGTAAAATACACAAACTGGCCAGTCTGGAAAAATATTTTAAATTGGTGCAGTTCAGTTTATTCTGAGAATGTTTTCCAGTATCAACTTTCATCAATCTGTTCCTGTCCAGTATTTCTTAAGAACCAAACAAAACTGCTGTCTGATAACACAGAAACAATTAGACACAAGGAGAGGGCCATAAGTCTTAAAAAAGGCCATGCCTCAATTTTTGAAGATGGACCAGGGGAATGGTGCTTTCCATTGCACATACCTCATCTATCAGAGTGACACTCTCTACTTCCCTTCATTACAGACAGTTTTCACTTAGTGGTAAAAATACTAATTTAAAGGTTTAATTAGTGAATATTTTGGATCATCTGAATATTAGCCATTATACTTTCCCACAATGAAGTCAGCCATTGTCAATGTAAATACTAATATTTTCAAGTACATAAGATTAAAAATAAGACTTACTCAAATGCAAAATAGGGCAGACATTTGACCTGATGTTCTTTAGTTCTCTCTTCTACAAGACAGTCAGTTATCTTGTCTCAAAAACTTAGTAGGGAAACAAGTTTTTTAAGTATTTGCCTGTATTTTTAGTAAGATGGTCAATGAAACATTTTAGATAAACTGGAAAATCCAAGCTATTTATTGGGGATTCTCTATATGAGTATCACTTATAGACACATTGCAACCCAATCATCTTGGTTCATTAAGAATTCTGGTCACCCAAATAATTCTTATTTCAAGGAAAAGTAAACATGTTATGTGCCAGATTTTAGAGATAAATTTTTTAGGATAGATTCAAAGGGGCCGTCTAAAATGAATATGCGTGCTGATCCTGTACCAAGCATTGCTATGGCTATATATTTGTGTGCTACCCAATGCCTTGTGTTCTCACTCTCCATCACAAGTGTCTTCTATATACAAGGACACACTTCTGAATCTTAGGAATTCAGTGTTATTTTTTCATTAGTAAGTATGGCAATAAAATCTAAACCGATGCTTTTATTTGGATTGTTATTGTGGTGTTTTAAAATGTTAAAAATAATGCCAGGGCTCCTCTGTGATTTAGTTATAGGACAAAAATTATTTCTAAAACAATTTCTAAAAACATGACAATTTTCCTCTAAGCAGAAGTTGAGAGAGCTATGTTATTTTCTTAGATGATAAAAATTAGGTTTCCTTAGAGGTTTTCCTCACCTTTTCTGTCAGGTTTGAGGTTCCGATCCACCGGCGGCGGCTCACACTCTGCAGCAGGCACCGACCGTCTGGGAGGGGTCTTTGGGCTGGACCTGAAACCCATGTGAGCAGGAGGAGGAACTTGCTTTCCAAACAATGGAAAATCAAACGTGCCAGGTATCATGGGTACATAGTTTGTTTCCTGGATGGGTTCAGTGAAGCTGCTGGAATGCTGTCGTGGAGGAGAGTTGGGATTCATTGGGACATAATTTTCATCTAGTTCTTCACTTGAAACACTTCCCACTGTCAACATGCTTCTGTTTTTCTAGAATTAACATATATTTCCTTTAACAAAATACGTTATGCAATCAGCTGTGAATCATGAGTCTTTTAACCTAATCTACTCAGATTAATGTACTCTATTGAGAGTGAAAAATGACAAACACTGCACAGCTTGCTTTCTTACACCGGAACAAAGAGCATTCAAACACTGTCACGGTTGCCTCTCATCAGATCAAGTCATACTTACAAAGTGGTTATGGAAGCCCTCCAATGAATTAGATCTGTCATTCAGAAACGTTCGTGGAATATCATAACAGTCTTGAGAACTAATTTCTAAGGAAACAAGAAGAGAAAGTAGCTATTTATCACCCCTGTTCCTGTCACTTGGCACAGGCATCCAGAGTCTGTTGTTATTTACTGTCTGCTTCTGAGAGTACACAAACACACCTCCTGAAGCTGTGGCCCTAGATATATCTATATTTGAAAGGACTGTGTTCACAAACAATCTTAGCACTCATCAGTTACAACTTGAAGCATTCACAGTGGCATTTTTCCATGGAAAGAAAAGAGAAATGAATTTCTGCTTTTAAAGAAGCAGCAGAGTCTATCTTTTAATTGAGCATGTGTAAGAACTTTGTGCAATGAGTGAGAATCTGGGCCCTCATGAAAAGCCTAATAAAATAAACAAACAACAGATGTAGTTTAACATCTGGAAAAAGGTTTTCTGACTGATGCCCTTTGCTTGGAAAGTGCTGATTCAACAGGATCCCATCTGTTGCAGGAACAGGTGAATCCCATCTCTCAGCTCTCCAGTGTGGTCTCCAGGGGCTTTCAGTAGGAGTGGGCTGCTGCCAAACCAAAGATTTCTCCCTTTTTGGAGTCCTGGCTCTTGGCAGGCCCGACTAAGCAGGTCCTCAGCTCTGTGGCTGGCTCTTTGCTGGACAGGGGTCTTTGTGAGACTCCTGGCTCCCAAGTGCTGCTCATCCATGCAGCAGGCTGCTTCACCCTGTGGCACGAATGCCTCCTCTCATGAAACTGGGTAAACTCTGGGATTTATCCCCGCCTTGCCCTGAAAAAAAACCTTTGACCTTTTTTTTAAGATTTTCACCACAGAGGAAAATAAACAATTCTGCTCTTAAGTACCAAATTTAACCAACGTTTTCAGAAAGACTAATTTTCTTGAGGCAGACAATCTCAGATTCAGTATAGGAATCTGAGATTCACCTATAAACTTAGCAAAATGACTGTGGTGGTTTTACTTGGGAGAAAATACTACATGAGAGAAAATAAGCAAAGCAAACAAGGATCTTTCATAGTGTTCGTTTGTCATTTTAAAATACTAACAACCATCAATATTTTATGCTCAGTCTACAAAATGAATGACAAATAGGACAATAGTATCTGAGCATCTGTATGATCCCATCCATTCTGCATACTGCCTCCTCTAAAAGCCTTGTATTCATACCTCATTTCAAACAATTCTCCTTTAAAATCATCTGTAACATAAATATTGACTTACACAAATAAAAAATTTCATTTTAAAAACAACACTGTAATACCCACCTGCTTCAGAAATCTGAAAGAAAGTGAAACCCTTAGCCCAAAAGTGGTTAACAAGAAAATACGCATGACAGCACATCTGGAGGAGCAACATTTAGGTGGCCAGAATAAACAACTTTAATTTTACTAAAAAACTGCAGTAAGCATGTCTATCACATGGACAGAAAGAAAGGCTGGTGGCAATGATCATCAAATCAGGGCTGGTCTCAAAGCTCTGGGTATACACTATATCCCACTTATGTTTATGAAACAATTTCAGCTTCTGCAGATTGCACCACACTTCACTAAGCTCACTTTGATCATTCTGAAAGACTGAAAATGGTAGTATGGAATTCAGTTATATGAGCTTATTTCCAAATAACTATGTCTAGATCTTCAAATATTTTCAGCCAAGGCTGAATGCCACAGTGCAATATACATCCCTTACGGATGTTCTGCGCTTTGCTGTTTTGATGGTTTCCTTTAAAAATCTCTGTTCGTTTTTCTAATATATTTTAAACACAGTGATAGCGAATTGTGAGGGGCTAAACACTTGTTCCTACAGGCTAGAAATGCCCCTCACATTATTCAGCCCATTCAGCTCCCACAGCTCAAGTCAAATGATGCTGACCTTTCCGGAAGACGTTCAGGTCTCCCGTGGAAATGGTGTTGCTGCGCGAGGGCGGCGCTCCTGCAGCGGGGACGCAGTAACTGCTCTCCGTGTCTGACGCGGTGCGGCTGATGCCACACGTCTCCACAGGAGAGCGATCCGCTGCCTGGTGAGGTTTGGGGGGCCGAGGTGGAGGGATGTCTGGAATAGTCTCCAGTTTTGAAGTCTGAGACAATGTTCCCTCTGGAAAAGTTCGTGGGACCTGATAAGTACCTCCGGGTGTGGGGGGAATGTCATAGCTAATGGAGATGTGCCTCATCTGCGTGTCTAACGACACTGCTGATGGGGTATTGAAAACATGCTGCTCTCCTTCGGCATCAGTTCCAGATGGAGACGCTGCCTTGGGCAGAACATCCTGGGAGTAACTCCTGGGCAGGTTGTAGAGGCTGGAGTCTGCCAGCGCGGAGCGGGAAGGCGGGGAATCGTAGGCGCCCTGCTGCGGGAAGAAGCCGTTCACAGTGTGCTTGCTCCCTGGTGCAACAGGGTTCTTGTGGGAGGGCACGTTATCATTGCAGTCTGTTTCTGAAGAGCTGGATTTTGCAGAGTCAGCCTGAGATCTACATGTGAGATTGTGAGATTAGAATGCTGACGAACACACAAAGAAAAACAAACATTGCAAATCAAAGACAACGTTTCTCATGGAACCAACTGAAAAGTCTAACAGTGTCTTCCAAATTTTTTATTTTCATTTTTTTAAAATGAGATGCAGGCATTTTATTATTAAACAAACAGGAGTACCTAGGCATCCTAAGTAACTACATTCATACAAATTCATTCATGTGAAATATAAAGCACAAATGTGGAGCTTTACCAACAGGCTGATGTTTCACAAAGCAAGTGATTTTCAGTATGCCTGTTTGAAGCCAAGTTTGGGGGCTGGAGGTTTTTTAATCATTTTTTTTAACCCATGCTGCAAACCAGCAACACTCTATTGGCACTGTTAAAGGTAAAAATAAGATGCTCAGTTCTTGGACTTACAGTACTTGCTCATTATAATAATTTAGAAAAAAATGTTAAGAGAAAAAATATGACTGCTTGTAACTCCCTTAAATGTGTGCCTGAAGTTATACTGACCATATAAAAACCATTTGAAATATATAAGGAAAAGAGAAATAAGAGCTAAAATCATGAATAGGAGGAAATTGGTATGTTCTTTGAGGGGAAAAAAAAAATCCATAGGTTCCATGTGCAACAGAGACCTTTTGCCTTGAATGCAAATGAAGGTGGTATTGTTAGATGAGGAAATTCTTTTATGAGAACAGCACTCATTAGTACAAATACTAACTACTACCAGTAAACTTACATGGAAAGTAACCACATTACAATAATTTGATTTCCTTTCTAAACCTCTCCATTTAGTGTGCTCCAGGCAGAGAAATTCTGTTATCAGTCTGGCTTCCTTGCTTAAATGAAAGTCCAAACAGTGGCAAAACACTAGCACTGGAGATGGTAGTGGTGTAGTTAAGTTAAGGAAGTCCATACACTTTTTGATCAAACATAACATATTTCCTATTTTCACTACCTCAATAGCATACCACTGTGTTAATTTATACATGCATATGTAAATATTTCAGCATGCATAGGTATCAATGAATACCTGCAACACAACTCTTAGTAAGCTCTGTTAAGCAATTGGACCACACAGGTCCAAAAGTTTTGAGGAATAAAATACATAAAGTACACCCACTACCATAAGAATAATTTTCCCCCTTATTTAACAGGCTCTGCACCTAATTTCCATTAGAAAAAATATAGTAATTTTGCTCTGATTACTACCTTAAACATAGATTTCAGTTCTGTCACTGGTCAGAACAGGTGTCTAGGTAACTCTGAACTTTAATCTGCATTTAGTTTAATCAACTCCCCGCAAAAAAGAAGATACTTTTCTCATTATTCATTCTTCGCATAACCAAGGAAGTAAAATCTCCTACATGACTCATGATGCTGACCATGAATATATATTTCTCTTGTTTCTTTACAGCTGCCTCAGAGCTCTTTGCCTCAGAGCTTCAAAAACTCATGTATGAACCACTAGAAGTTTAAAACACTTGCAAAATATAGAGCACATAGGACTGAAGGAAGCACATGAGGTTACAGAGCGCATAACAGACTGTGAACACTAAGCTCAGGCTCTGCTGCAGCCCCTCCTCTTTATTCAAAGGATTGATTCAGGAGTTCCTCGCTTTCTAAATGTACTCTCCTAGTTGTATGATATCCATTTAGACCAAAATCCCAGAAAAAGTCAAGCATTTCTCAAATATGGCAAGGACTGGGATCTTTAAATTTTAGACTATAAAAATAAAGTAGGTAGTCTACATCTACTGAAAATCAATTGTGGAACCAAAGTTTTAGTTTCAGTTCACTGGGATATACTTTAAAAGGAAAAAATTCTAAAACTACAGGAATAAAACATAAAAACTACATTTATCTTACAAAAACACGCAGGAATACACAAGCAAAGCTCAAAAAGAAATAACAGCATATTTACAATGCCAGAGCATAATGATTATGCATGAAATGCAAGAAACAAATACTATCCTTCTAAATATAGGGGTTTTTCTGGGTCTAAGTGAATGATACTTCTTCTTTCTTGACCACAAGCACTTGTGCAAATGGAAGGCTTTCAAAAACCATGAGACAACTAGGTCTGTCATCTGCTTAGCTGATGGCAACAGCTTACATTTCTTGTTACAAGAGGGAATTTCTGATTTAATTCACAATTTTGAAAGCAATCTTTTGGAATCAACATCTTAGTCTACTGAAACATTTTTCAAAATATGAATGGGTAGTAAGCAATCTGATTTTGCACAACTGAAAGTCCAAAGACACTGTGAAACAAAGAAAACAGTTTATGCCAAAATGAAGCCAGAGAATTCAGCCTTACAATTTTAACTATTTTTAAAAGTCAGCATTAACCACTGACCATGATAACAACACCATATATAATTCTGAAAACATACAGTGCATAGTTGACAGGAGTAGACCATACTCCTGGTTTGTATTTTTGAGGGGTTTTTATGACTTCTATACTTCAGGAATTTTATTTTCTCTTTAGTACAGCTCAATTAAAAAAAATGTTTTAAATATTCCATTAACAAATGGTTATTACAATAAGTATTAAAGGGTTTTTACACCTCCATTTAATATAATGGCAAGGCTGGATGTAACACAATGATAATTCCTCACTTTATTAGCAGAAGATGACTACAACATGAATTCAGTGTTATCACATGTGCGCATCACATATGTGCAAATGATGGTGAGTGGCCAAACCAGCCCTCATTCAGTGCTAGGACTGGCCATTTCCTTCCACACACCAAGAAAAGAAAACTGCCCAGCCAGCTGAGCTGCAAGGCCTGGGCATTAAGCTGCACCGAGAGGAGGTGGGGCAGTGAGGAAGGGGAGCCCAGGAACAAGCCAGGCTCCATGTACCACAAACCACTTGTTGACAGAGACCCAGAAAAAGGTACACCAAGTGTTTTAGTCTGAGGGGTAATAATCTCATTTCTGCAAATTAAGTATTTCGGCTGGGTTGACCACTCATCCTTTTCAGCTGAGTCTTTTCCCATCCACAGGAATCAATATGACTAATGAAACAGAATATTATAAACAAAATGGCAGCAAAACTGCTCTTGTGTGCCAGCAATGTGGGACAGCTACAGCAAGCACAGAAAAAACAGGACAGACAAAAATAAATAACATCCAGACCTCTTTTCAGAAAATGGAAGCACAAGTTATATAGTTTTTCTGTTAAAACTCATGAACACCATGCAAGATGAGTCTCAGACAAACACTATTTTCAGGCAAGTTAATGTCTCTGTGATTAATTTCTCACACATGTTCCAAGAATGGCTACTGTTCACTCACTGAAGTGGAATCTTTTTACTTTCAAAGTCTTCTAATAGCAGGTATTCCTGCCCTTCTTCTGAGAGAAAAGGTGACCCTTGGCTGGTTCATATACAATAGGAAAGATGAGGAAGACAGCATTTAGTATTTCAATATACCTACTGAACGAGCCAGAACAATAAGGGATTTAGAAGCAATGTTTGGCTGCATTTTCTTTTCTAGGATCCAAACACAACCTTAAAATCTCCCTAAATGCTACAGTGAAACAATGCTCTTTCTTAAGTCAGCAGTGATCAGAGCACGAAACTATTTTAGACAAAGTACTGCAAGTGATAGTCACAGCTGCAATTGCTGCATACAAGACAGTCTCACAACAGCATGTGGTGCACTCTATGACACTTTAATGGAACATGTAATAATTATTTTCTAGGTCTGAAACACTACAATTCTCAAAAATCCCAAAGAGGTGACTCAGATACATCTATGTTTCACAGTGACCCATCTCACCCAGAAAAGAACATCAAAGCCTTGAAATAAAATTCAGTGGTTCTCAGGTTACCTGTAAAGTAACATGCAGAATCAAAACAGAAAATGTTCCCTTGGCATACTGGTAATTTTTAAGTCTAAAGGGAAAACATTTAAGTAACAGTACCTGCTTGTTTAATTACAGCTATTAAGCCTTGCACTTGACACTAAGTCTGTATGAAATACCCAGATAAATTGTTCCAAGCCTGGAAAAAAGGAAAATGATGCAGCCATTTAATTTTTATTCTTTGTCTGTAAGGATATGGATTGGGGTAAAGTGCACTCTTACTAATCATCTTAGTAATGTGCTACTGAGATACACAAAGCTCTCATTCCATAGGAAAATGTCTATATGCTCTATACTCTGTCCCAAACCCAGCAGCTTACCTATGTTACCAGACATAAAACATAGGCAGTCCTTTTAGGTGGAACTGAAAGTCCAGCACAACTGTTATTCTGAATTTTCATGATCACAGCCTTTTTAATTTAAGGACACAGCTTTTTAGTTACAGAAAATAAACTAAACTCATATAATCTCCAAGTGATCATAATGTCAATGTCTTCAGATTTTCCTATAAAACCATCATTTATTTAAACAATCTCTACACTCCCAAATATTTTGTTCTGTTCTTTCAGTTCACTAGGTATTTTATCACCACTGGACCTTTTGCCTTTCCCAGTACCTTCTCTTCTGTGTCACTAGTGACTCCTTGAGAAATTTTGCAGGCTTATCATGGACTCTATACCACATTTTGTGGCCCCTTCTATGGTCTCCTCATCCTCTACTTAACCCACACATCACATAACTGTGGAAATCAGGTCAGAAAGTCAATTACACATCCCAACCTTCATCATTCCAAAAAACACCTTCACATTGTGGTGGTACAACTCTGCTCTGAGCCTGTCCCTCGCAGAAGCAAATGGACACTCAGACACATTTCTGATAGGCCAGGATTGCTGAAATCCAAGTCAATTCCTCTGCCAAGCTGTTCAGGAAGCGATACCAAACCCAAAAGCTTTTGGCAGGAACACTGACATTCCTCTTCAGCACTATCAGCTTCTGAACATCACTAAACACTAAAATCTCCAACACTGGGCTTCCCTGTCCCCTGCAGGAGGTTCTGGGACATCCCACCCTGCCTGGAACATGCACGTTCCATACTCTGGGGGAACTCTAGGCTCATTCCCTTGTTTTATAAGGAAGACTGTAAAGGGTGGACACTTTTCTACACAATCATCAGTAAATGGACCAGGAAACTCAAGCACAACAGAGCAAGACAAAAATGCCAAGGAAGCAGCGCGGAGCATATGGCACTTGTCTGTAATTACAAAAATAATATGATGTTTTGTTAATTTTTCTGTAAATATCTCAGCAGATTTTATTTGAAATTAGTGCAGAAAAGAAGCTTCTCAGAGGGATTTATACGGTTCTCCTACAGAATGTTTAAGGTTGGAAGGGACCTCTGGACATTATCTGCTCAGCTTTTCCAATACCTCTAAGCAAACCCTTCAAAAACAGCAAAGGCTCCTCAGGAGCTTGTCCAGTCAAGCTCATTTTTGGTTCTTTTAAATAGTTTTTTTAAAAGAGGACAGAGACTCCAGTATGTCCCCAGGCAGCCTGCTCTATGATCCATTCTGGCAAAACACAGTGATATTTCCCAGGTAGCTAATATGAATATCATATCCTCCTATGCAGGAGGTGCTGTGGATTTATTTAAGTTGAAAGTAGCAGCTGGAGAAATAAATAGAAATTTAATTCTGTAGAAGTTCTAAATTTTTCCTTCAAATTTCCTATTGCACACTTCTCTAGATAACTGACTGTGTAGGCACTCTTTATTCAGTAAAAAATAAAGCTTATTTGAGTTTCCTTTTAAGTATCTGTTATTAGGAAAAAGCTGAAATTCAGGATATGGAAACTGAGTGGTTTCAGCCTCTGCATTCTTTGTTATCATAAAATAATTGGGTTTTCTTCTTGTTTGAGAGTCTGAATCATGCTAGTAATAGTAAACAAATGCCACTTGAAGATCACTGTACTCAGTGATGTGGTAACCTGGCAGGTGATGATAACATCAGCATGTTTTCTTAACCCCTTCCATGAAAGCTTTAACTGGCAAAACTGGGGAACCAAATGCCAGGAGGGAGAAAGGCTAAATTCCTCCAGCTTTTTCTAGTACTGAACTGGACTAAGCACACCAGACTGTGGCTAAAGAAAGCATACTTTGTGTCATGCATCACTCAAAGCTCCAATGGAAGGCTTGGATTGATGCATCACTGTGATAGTTCATGTTGGCAGTTGCTGTCAACACTTTTGGAGAATGCAATATAACACTGATCAAACAACTTGCTATTGCAGCAAAAGGTTTGATGCATGGAACAAAAAAAAAAAGAAAAGTTACAGGCAGCTTCCCTGTGTAGATATGTGCATCCAAATGCTCAGTATCTCAGTAGTAACAAAATGCACTTAGCACAAACATTCTTGGTTTGTAATATAAAAAAGTGTTATTAAGAAACAAAAGTCACTTACCTCATAGGTTCAGGTTTTTTACTTTGACAGTTTATTAGCAGTAAGTAGTCTTGAGGATCTTCCTGACCAGAGGCAGACTCCAGAGGGGGGACGTTAATGAGCCGATAAGGAGAAGGAAGGGAAGATTCTGCTTGCAAGGAGGGCGGTGAAGTGCTGATGGGCAAGGGTAACTCAGCAGATGGTTGTAAAGAACTAACTGGTGGCTTCACAGCATCTGCAAAAACACAGAAGCAAAGATTTCTTTATATAGTGAAGAAATAGTTCTTCAACAGTAAGAAAAGAAAATTAACAGAGGATGGAAAAACCCTCAGGCTTTAGTTCAAATTTGTTAAATTGGACACAATAACATCTGGGTGTTAACGTTTGTTTCAGGGAATTTACATTTATATATCAATCTTTATCTTTTCAAACTGCAATCAATTTCTTAAGTAAGCCTTGCAAACAGAGGTTCTGCCTTATTTAAAGACTTATTTAACCTGCTTTCTGGCCACAGAAAGAACAAATATGTTGACAGCTGTGGTAATACAGCTAAAAACACAAATCTGTTGTTCTAATCAAGGGCAGGCACAAGCCCATAAGTTATTACTTGAACATGGCAACCCAAGTCAGCACTTGGAAGTACTCATTCTTTTTTGACCAAGGTCACTTCAACGTTTGAGATCAGTTACCAGGCAAGATCTGGCCACTCTCAGTATCTGAAAACAGACAGCAAAACTGCTGCTTTGGCAATGGAAGATTCTTTACAACTAGAAAAATAATGCAAAGGTACAACAGGTAACATGTTCCACTAAGCCACCTGATTACATACCCTAATTTTTTATTGTTGTGCAATAAATGAAAGGGTTGGGTTTGGTTTTGGTTTCATTTCTTTGTTTTGTTTTGGCTTAGTTTGGATTTCTTTTGGGGTGGGGGGAGAGGAGGTGGTTTTCTTTTTTTTTAAAATAACCTTATAATTCTTATAAATAACCTTATAATTCTTATCCACTTCCTATCCATGCAACTTCTTTTTGCCTTCCGAATACATATATCCAGACTATTAAATTATCTGGGAGGCTAGAAAATATCTACATCATCAAATATTAAACAATCATTTGGCTTTTTCATTGTTTTACTGACATTGACTAAGAACAACATAATTAAGCAAACTATTTCCTAATTATCAAGGCTTACTTGCAACTCATTGTACATTCCAAACTGTACAACCCAAGAATGGGTGCTGATTATTAGCATTGTTCAAATGAACATGTTATTATCCAATGCTCCTGCTCCTGCCAGCCTTAAAGGCCAACTATGCACTACAAAGTAGCTTCATTCAGCTTCTGCTTCTCAGCACTGCTCTGGGAAATAAGAGATGAGCAGCCCAGAACACAGCCCTCCTGCTTCCAGTTCTGTGTACACCAAGTACAAGTGATTTAGACATGGAAATAGAAATAGCCACACTTGCTTTGAACTTCCATGGTATCTGAACAGGCTCAGAAATTAAATCCCACCACACCCATGTGGTTGGAAGAAGTCTAGGTGTATGAAAATTCCTCAACTCAACCTTCCTGAAAAAGTAGGATAGCCTAAAAAACATTATTATGAAGGGCTGTGGCTGACCTATTCATCAAACTAGTTAGCAGAAGAAGGAAAAGAAACAGACGGTATCAAGGGATCACATGCATAAAAATAAATTGATGCATGCAGATCAGATAAATGATAGTATAGAGATGTTTATAATTTGTAATGTTTATAAATTCTTTATACATTACATTTCTTGAAACACATATTCCTAAACCACATCCTATGGTTTAGAAAAATGGGGGTAAAAAAAGGTAAAATCCATTACATTAATTGTTATCTAAAAACTGTTACTTAAAATAGCCGATGTTTACTTAAATACCCTTGTATTTACAATTCCTATGCACATCCTTTTTATTTGTATTCTAGAGTCACTTCATTTTTTCCTTTCAAATACAGCAGTACTTGGATGCAAAAGCTACTAAAAAAGTAGCTTACTTTCTACATGCTTAAATATAAAATATGAACAATTTTCTATCATTTAGGAAATTCAAGAGCTTGAAGGAGCCCCTTTGAGGCACCTACTAATATTTCATGATTCCCCTAATGCAGGGGCTCAACAGCAGGAACAGAGAAGTGCCTGAATGGACCCACCAGGAATGTACTTTTTGTACTTTCTGGAAAAGCAGCAGTGGGAGAAAGGACAAGCAGCTGTCTGCCCTGTCCCCTGCAGAACTGAAGAACAGAAGTAAATGCATGCACCAGTAAGGGCGGGCAAGAAAAGTTTCCTGCCAAACACATCATTTTTTGACCACACTTAAGAGATGAGATCCTGAAGAGCTCCCCTGTGCCTCAGTGCCCACCCCATTCCCGGGCCTGGCAATGCACAACCCTCACGCCATTGGAACTGCTCCGTGCCAAGCTCACAGGAGGAGAAAAAAGAGAAATCAAGGATAGGATATCCTTGAGGCTTCCAGGGAACATGGGTGTGCCAGTCAGCCCTCATGCAGTCAGGAGAGCCCAACATGCACACAGTACCTACGTGACCTGATGCAATTAAACACATCATGCACCAGCATTCCCAGGAAGAGCAGCAAAACTCAAGGGTGACTTTTCAGGGAAAAATAAAATCATGAATTTTGAAAGAGGCCAATGTATCCACAAAGCCTGATGCACTGCTCCAGCTTCTGGGGCACCCCAAGACATAGGCTGCTTCCACAGCCTCTGCTGACCTACCCTCTGACACACTGTTCTCTGAATTTCTCCTATTTCTTTGAGTGACTTTATATTTTTGAACTTCACTACCCTCCTATGGCAGTGAGGTCCACACCTTACTACACATGACATGAAAACCCACTTCCTTTTAAACCTGATATATTCACTTGATATATTTCAGCTCCCATCTTCAAAGAAACTGTGAACAATTACCTCCTACTCATAATTCCCATTCCCAACTTTACACAACTTTGTCATAGTTTTTACTGAGTTGGTACTGCCTAATTCTTCCTGGTGCAGAAGCCATTTCATTGTACATCTGGTTTCCCTTTATCCTCACCTTTCCTAGCTCTGCTACTTTTTCTTTCCTGAGAAGAGAAACTAACTATTGCACACAAAGCACACACACACAAAAAAAGTCTAGGACCCACTGGTTTATGAAGATATAACAGTGATTCATTCCATTCCTTTCCTAATGTGTCCCTTTCAATTGTTACTGAATTTTCAAGGTGATGCTGTCCAGCTGCCTGGAAGCTTTATGATCTGTTCTCTGAGCAAGGATTTGGAGCCCATTAATGTTAATGGATCATTACGGACACTGTCCTTCTGACGAGTCGTCTCTCTCTTTTGACACAGATAATACTTGATAAAATCCCTGATCCTCTCACAGATCTGTGTGGGGTTTGTTTGAGATAGGTGTTTGTGTGGTTTGGTTGAGGTTTGTTTGGTTTTTTCAGCATATAGAGCATTAACTATTAAAATACCAACTTTCTGATCTGAAATCCATCCTCACACAGGCATTTTGTGTATGTTAAATAGTGTGGGCTAATGCCAGATTGAAAGATCTACTGAATTTGGTCTAAAGCACTTGAGATTTGCTTTATGCATTGATGCCATTTCAAATTTTACTACAAGGGAAGAAGTAATGCTAAAACTTTCATCACTGAGCAAATGAAAGCTCTTTGCCTATCTGCACCCTCTCAAATATTCTCTTCACCCAAGCACTCCTCAAGCTGATATGAAGGAAAGTTGCTCTTCCAGCAGCTATTTATGATTTCAAAGAGTACATCATCAACTTGCTCCACTTTGGACTAGCAGATTTTTAGGGAAGGGGTCATCTGCACACCAAAGAGCATTATAAGTCATTTGGTTTGTTCCCAGAGCTCAGACACTCAGACTGCTTTGAAATAACTGGGAGCTGGAAAAACAGCCAGAAAATTTAACATGCAAATTAGTCTAACAAGAATTCTATTTTGTTTTTATAATTCCTGGATTCAGTACAGCTAGAATAATCAGCTTTCTGAAAACAGGGCAAAAGTCTTATCTTTTCTCAGTTGGTTTGTTATGAGTAGTTACAGGCTTCATTTTCACTAGACTTTATACTTTTTTCTTCATAATCATTTTGATATCTTGTAAAATTTATTATGTAAAAAGAGCATTTTCTAAACAAGAATAACAAAAGGCTCCACTTTCTCCCTCCTCAAATATATGAAGCTGCTTTATCCCACAAGTTCCTACATATCTTGCTTTGTGTTCAACCTAGAAAATCTGAGTGTGGGAGTTTCTATTTAGGACTGGGTTTATATTTTGGTGTTTGTTTTTTAATGAAAGCAAAAATGTAATTGTTTTCTACACTATAATGAACAGTCTCTTAATATTCTAATTATGCAAAAACTTGAAATGTTCTCCTAGTAAAAAAACCACAGAGGCCTCATTACAGCATGCATTTCTTTAAATGTCAAAATTGCAATTGAAGTAAGAAAATGCATTCTTTGCACACTGTAGGTAGAAATATGAAAACAGAAATGGGATTTTTCCATTGCAACAGTGAATCAGCAACAGATGTGCAATGGCATGATCATTCCATTCTTCTGAGAGGTTTAATTCCATCCACTTACTGTAACACATGTGTTATTAAAATAACCAGTGGCCAACAAAATGTTAGAGCAATATTCTTGTCCAAAAATTCACAGATACAATAAAAAGAGCCATAATTTAAAAAATCCCATCAAATAAAAACTTCAAAACTACACCTGAAGCCTTAAAAGAACTTCTCTGTTTGTTTGAGACATCCTGGAATCAAAGGGCCACATATGCACACACAGAGCACAAGCGCGTGTGTGCTGATGGGCACTTGCATTGTTCACACATTAATTCAATAGATGAGAGCCAGATCCAGCCCAAAAGAGGCACAAACACATGAGCATGGATTTGGCATTAAGTGAACAGCCCGGCATCAATATGAAATCTATGCAGTAAAGCTCCAGACCGAACTGTTCTGCTATAGCCAGAGAAAGTCCTTTAAAATACTCTAAGAAAAACTTCCTATGCATCTCATATGTTTATTTTCTTAGTTTAATATAATCTCACAGTATGTCTCTCTTCCTGAAGATAAACATGATACCTTTTTTAAGGAATGAAGAATTCAGCTTCGCGCCTTATGTCCAGGACAACCCTGCCTCCTGCATCCGCACCAGAAACACGACTGACTGCTCCAGGTTCCATCACACACAGAAGTTTCCAGCTTTCAGAGCTAACACCTAAAATTTAGTTCTTGCTATCTGCAGTTCGTGTGTAATTCTAAGTTTTGGTTACCCATTTAAAATTTGAAAATACCAAAACATTTGCACTTGGAATTGACACCGCCTTTCCACCCGCAATTTTGTTTTGAAGACTATTCATTTAAAAGGAGAAATAAGGAAACATCTGTAGCCGGAAAAATAATCAAGGAGTCGTGTTATAGACTAACTTCTGTAGGTGCTTGTGAAGAAAAATAGTTCAGCCCACCACATTAAAAAGCTTGGATATGTTTCTTCACCAAAATGCCCAGAGCTCTCCTTGGCTGTAGGCATCTCTGTGCTCCAGAGAGGCTACCATCATCCCACGTGCTGCCTCTCAGCACCTCAGACTCACGGGAACCTGCAAAACACTCTGCCAACCCTTCTCCCAGAGACTCAACAGTAACATCAACAGCACAAGAAGTGTCCAGCAGAAACAAGAGAAAATTAAGTAAATTACCTAGGCATAATAGATTCAGTTCATTTTTCCTCAAGGAAGAACAGAATCACCTTCCATGTGAACTTTTGTTACATGCAGCTGTCAGCTTAAGATAATGACCTCAAACACTCATGATTAAGATGCTGATCATGCCCCGATAGTAAATTATTTTTTAAATATATGTATTTTTGCCTCACATCTTGAAAGGGAAGATCTACTGCTGCAGATTTTACACTCTATTTTTCATCATCACCATCTTACTTAACCACCAGTTCTTTTACTACAGTAGAAGACATCTTAATCCTGTCTGCTGTCTTCTCTTTTCCTTTGGATAACAGACAGTGATCATCTCAGCTTGAGCCACCAGCTACCAGTTCTATCAAACCCTTCATTATTCCTGTGCAATCTTGCTAGAAAGCTCTAACATCATTCTTCACAGTCTATCATCACCTTCCTCTCAGTTATTCCACTCTTCAAAAAATCATCACATTTGTATGTCTCAGTGGCCATTATCTCCCCAACTTTTTTTACTCAAAGTAAGCAACCAAAAAAAGCCTTCAAAAAACAGATGCCTTTCTGCGACTATTCCTTCTAAACCTACTGCCTCACTTCTGTGACAACAGACTCATGACCCTTCTCTGGAGAGTTTCTCTCCTAATGCTTAACTCAGTTCTTTTGTTCCTTTTTACTGCACTGCAGGTCATCAATCACCCATCCTTCTGGCACGTCACCTTTGAGCCAACAATTCTTTCTAGCTAATCATATCTGAGAGATATAAAAATGCCTCAGCTCTTCATTAAGTACATCATCTCCATAGTGCAAACTAGCTGCAATTTTTTTTTAAGTTTAGTACTTTGTCCTTGCACTTTATGCTCTTCCAGAGCTGCCCTTCCTTCATATAGAAGCTCAGATATTTCTCCTTACTTCTGAGACCTTTAATGACCAAGGTCTTGAATATTCAACACATGCTACTGGGATGGCAATTTTGCTTTGCCATATGTGCTAGGCCCTGTCATGAACTTTTTAAAGCTGTCAAAGAAGAACATTTTTTGTTTCTTACAGGCAGACCTTTCATGCAGGAATGGCACCCTAAATAGCATCCTTCCAATACCCACTATTTATTTATCAAAGAGAAGGAGTCAGGATGGGAAGTTACATTCATCCTGTCTGTCTCTGATATTGCACCGAAGCTGTGATCAACCTGCAGTGCATGGATTATCAAAACATCATTTAAAAAAAGCAAATACAAAATTTTATTGTTCCAAAGGCAAAAAGGTAGGAAGGCATACACCAAATAGCAGCAGCCTGAAAAGAAACTTTGAAAGCATCATGTGTGAAGCAAGCTGCAGCTCCTTCAATGTATGATCCTTAAAATGACAAACTTTTTTCACCACATTTTATTGTTTATGTAAATGAACTGTAAATTTTAATGTCTTGTTCTTCCTTTTTCCCCCTCTTCTTGCCTACCTTATTTCTTCTGGTTTATTTTGCTACTGCTATCTTTATTCAAATTAATACAGGCAAGTAACATGTCTGCATATAGTAAGATCACTTCCTCCTTTCCTTGCTCTGCCAAGAACACAATTCACTAAATTACAGAAACATGGAGCTGCATCACATATAAAACATTCATCACAGATGTCTACTAAATTCTAGGGAAGGACTTTCACAGCTTGTGCTTAGATATCCTTCAAAGGGTTTTCTTTATCGTTACATCACTCATTGAAAGAAAAATAAGTTCTCTCTACAGATAACAACGGATCCATGTCCTGCTTATCGCAGCTTGTGTTTGAAAGTCAGTTCTTCCCTCAATGTTTTCTTCTCAGGAAAAAAAAATCCTTCAACTTTTCTTCTCATTAATCATTTTTAAAAAAACATTTCCTCTATTTTTACCTTTCTTTAAACATTTATCCTCATCCTGCTGAAAGTATTTCAGAGGACATCTTCACAGCAGAAGACACAAAACAGCCATTACTGGTACATCAGGTCCATTCAGTCTCTCCATCCCAGATCGTCTCTCAACACAGCTCAAAGCAAAACACTGGTGACACATTTTTGGCTTATAGCTCCCTCTGATTTTATAGATTCCCACATAAATCCAAGAAGGCAATGTTCCTGGATTTCCAAATGAACCCCAGAAGGAACAACAGGGCAGTGGTGTTCCTAGTTCTTGACTGAGCAAGGGATGCCAATGACAGGACACACAACAAACCCTTGTCTGGCAAGAGACATTTCTTCCAGCTTCAAAGAAAACTATCTTTTGCTTCCACAGGTAATAGAAAGACTTCTCATGCTACACACTCCTCTTGTTTAGGTCCAGACTAAAATAATAATGTGTTTTTACTATCTGAACTTCACCTGTTCTTTAACTTCCCAAAATAAGCTGCAGGTGAACACAGATTTTTAAAGTATATTTACGACCTGCTCTTTCACTGGCATGAAGATTCATCTTGGTAAAATAAGAACTTGGCAATAAACACTCAGCAACTGATTTTCCCATTTTCCTTTTTTAAAATTTTTGCTCAATGCATTGCAAGGCATCACTAAACCAATAAAACAGACAATGCTGTCAACTCTCAGTTGAGTGAAGTAAAGGTTTTGGAATAATTCAGTATAGTAGACACCTGTCCTTTCAAACCAAAACATTCAGCCAAAGAGAAAGTGTCAAAAATGAAACATGCAATGAGAGTACAACGGGGAGAAGTTATCGATACAATTGACTGAAGTAAAAACTCAGTTTATGAGGGCACAGTTACATCTCTCCACATCCACAGCAGGTTTTATTTTCAGTTCAATGACAGAAAGCTAAGGGCTAATAGCATACCAGCTCCCAGAGGAAAGGGCTGATGGTTTTGAGGGGACCCCACCTCTCTGTTCCGTGCAATGGACACGTGCTCCTTTGCAATCTGCCGAAGAGCTGCCAGGCAAACCTGTTTCCTCCTTAGATTCAAGATTTCCAGCCTGTCCCCAGAAGCCAGGACTTGTGCCCACAGCTGCACTGGAGCACTGCCCCCTGCCCACACCTCTCTGGGACGCAGGCTGAGCACCGAACCCCACGGCAGCTGCTCTCTGAGACGCGCTGCAGGGCCTGTGTGTGCTCAGGATGCCACAAAAACCTGCTGGAACTGGCAAAAGAAGCAACTTCCCCTGAACTTGCTATTCGAGTGGCAATTCGCTGGAGCAAAGTGATACAAACCCCTTCTTCTCCTTCACCTCCCTCAATCCACAATCCTACAAAAAGCAGGGATTTAATTCTAGCCCCTTCAGTCAGGCCTTATGTATAACCCTCTTATGCCTTATGCATAACCCTCTTACCACTCCTATTTAATGTTTTCTTGGAACTTGTGCACAGATCTACAGCAAGGCCTGTAACCCACTAATCTCCAAAAGGAATGCAGGAATAATAAGTAAATAAAAAAGAACGGATTCAGGACAAGCAGTGGCCACAAGGTATTTGCAAGGAATTAAATACAGCATTGTGTTTCCTACAAGCTGCCTTCATACAGTATCTATTCTGGTAGGATTTGAGTTGGATAGAGCAAAACTACAGGTTATTTTTTGTTTGTTTTAGCTGATGGGGGTGGATTTCTTTTCCCCCAAGTTTCAAAGCAGACGGGGAAATGATAATATTAGAAACCTGACATTTTGCACTCATTCCTGCTTGTATAACCATATGCTTTTATACCAAATGGGACTCCTTTAACGATTAAGAAGATCTACTGCCACACATGATTTTACTTGAGATTTTTCCTGTACTTCCAAGAACTAACATCACACAGAAGAGTGTCATCCAAGTTCTACAGCATACTTAATTTGTAACAAATTCTGAGTACCTCCCTCTGTTCTGCTTACTTTTTCTGAGGATAACAAGGAAGTTTCAAGGCCAATACCCACAAGCTTTAAAACATATGCCAGCTAAAGACAGTCATCTGATCTTTGGAATGTTCTTCACACATAGGCACTGCACTTTCTCAGAAAAAGCAACAGAACTTACCCTCATCTGTAGGGTTGAACCCGCAGATATCACAGATACATCGAACCCACTTATTCATCTCCTCCTCGCTGTCTGCTACCAAATAGAAAACTCGATCTATAGTGTTGATATCAAAAATATAGCTGTTTTCAAACTCCTTTTTGTTGAATGTTAATCCAGCATCCACTTGTTGACACAAATTTAGGTCAATAATACGGATAGGCTTCTTGGCATGGTCATTTTTGTAGTATTCCAATACATCTGGATCCCCTGTTAGGCGGCCGCTCCGAAGCACAAACCACCTTCTCTTCCATGCCTGAAAATTGGGGAGGGAGAAAAGGAAGAAAAATTAGGAGGAAGAAATCACACTTTAAGACCTTTTATGTGGGATTCCAACCTGGGTTGAACCAAGTACTAATAACTGGCTCAATTATTATACACATCAAATACCCACATTTAACACTATTTAGGTATTGTTACAGTAGTGGACTTAAGGATTAGTGAATTTGTATTTTAAATTTTATATCTTGACTTTGTTTGTAGCAAGCAGATATATAAATTAAATCACTGTTTACAAAATGAGAAAGCATGAATACACGAAAGAAAAAAATGGGGTGGGGATCAGGAAAGGGGCAAAAAAACACAAAAAGGGCTTCTGAAGGAAGCTGTCACAGGCATGAGAAAGACAAAATAAAATACATTTTTAAGTGTTCCATGGTGTTTTGTTCCCAATATATATTGTTTCAGGCTGATGCATTTTAACTGAACTTTTCACTGATAATCAACGATATGACCTGCATTTAAGGAACAGACAATACTCACACTGTACATGCACCTCAATTCCAGGGGAACTCTGCATTTAGAACCTTCATAATATTTCTACAGTAGTACTTCTTACAGAGAAAGAGCCACATTATTATTTTTTGAAACTGTTAGAGAGATGGGGATGGAGAAAATGACCAAATGATGTAGTTTTACCAGACAAATGCAGTACAGAACAAATTGATTTGATAGTCTGACACTATGCCTATTATACCAGCCCTCCTGATGCTGCAGAAAGAAGCTGGTCTAAGAGAGAACCAAATGCAAAATGTTGTATTCTCTAACGAATCCTTAACTGCCTTTCATCCCATGGGCCTCCATCACCTGCCATAATCCTCAATGAGGACCTGAACTGAAACAACACAACCAAGGTCAGCATACAGCTGTCCTGCTGCTTCCAACAGCATCTTTACTAGTCCACTTGGCTGCACTTTTGCTCCTCAGCTCTACCAGCAATACTATGATAGTAGCTTCTTTTTATTACCCAGTGCCAGGATAATGGGCACAGCAGAAGAAACTAGACACATTGCCATTGCTCACTAGGAGAGCTGCACGTCTTTCACACTGAGAAATTTGAAAGCAAAGCCCAGACACAGTGCAGACCAAGTAAATCAGTGCAGTAGCCAAGACACTGTGCATTACACCACAGACTCGCATCATGCCCCAAGTCACCCTACTTTAAACTTCCTTAGGATATTCAAACAAGGTTGTCAGCAAGTCCTTTGAAAGATTAAAAAAAAAAAACAAAACAAAGAAAACGAGCAGAAGAAATGCATAAATAAGACAGGTGAGGGTGAGGGAATTTTCATTTTGGCCACCCCTGGCTGTGTGCTAATCAAGGAAAAGGAACGGAATCGGCAAGGATGGTCCGAGAAGGAGTCAAGATGTGTGATGTTCTTTAAACACTGGGACAGCAGCTCTGAAAACAAGAGTTTCTTGCTGTGTATTAGGGAAAGATTCAGAGCCATTTTTGTGAGGCACAAGAGTGCATTCATTTCATTTTTGTAGGTGCTACCTTCAAACAAACTAGTGGAAGGGGGACAAGGAGCAAGTACTGCACTGCCGTCTCCCCATTCTGAACAAGCGCTGTCGGCTTTGCCCCAGTGTCGCAATAGGACCCAAAATGAACGACACGCATGCTGAAACTTCCAAGATAACAAGAAGAAGGTTTATTTCTTGATTTTGATATATTTAGAATTTTTAAAATGACTCTGGATTGGAGGATGAAATTGCCACTTCTCCAATGACACTGGTCAAACCAACAGTTTATCAAATTTCTCCTCCTCCAGAAAGGAATGCAAAAACAATCATTATTTACATAAAAGTGCGTGAGAAACTCCATTACAAAAATGTAAACATCAGAAGGCTTAGAAGAACAGGGCGACACCCCAGAGATTCAAAACCCCCACTGTGCATGCCTGTTTGGGGTATCAAGCTACAGAAGCTATTATGAAAAGATAATACAGAAAACAGGAGAAAGGGAAAAAGGACAGACAGCACAATTAAGGCTTGTGATCCATTCTCCAACTAGCAAAGCTCTAAAAGATTTTTGATTTTAAGATAATGTCTATAGTTTCAAACTACAAAACAATTGTATTTACTGCACTTGTGAAAAACAGCATCTGTTTTTAAATGATGAATGGTGTGAATCAAGTCAAAGTGTCAAGCAACTATTTCCATAGTAGCAGTAAATTTAACTGGTGAACAGTTAAAATGTAGAAGATATAATAGATTAAGCCTCTCTGATTTAGATTTCAAATGTGAGTATGTCCTAGCAGCACAGCTAGATAAACAGCATTTAACATTGCCCCAAAAACATTAGTAGAGTTTTGTTTCCTGCTTCCAAATCAAGTGACAACTTAGATGCTGGGATAACACAAAGATTCAGTAGATGAGCCTCTCTCCAGGCAAGGCTGATGACAGATAACTGCTACAAGCTGCTTCAGAAACAAGCTTTAACTTCAGCCTTTAGTCACTCAGATGAATTTTTTTAAGCAGAAATCAAGAGGAAAGAGATTAGAGATAGGAGAGGAACAAGAGCAATTGAGAAGTGTGATGTCTCACAGTTTGTCTCACAGTTTGTGCAACAACAAAACGCCAGGCAAAAAAACCTCTATCATCTCTGCATCAACCAGGTGTGCCTCTTCTAAAAATTTATTTCTAGTACTGTGTTAGGGAATGAAAGGTTCTTAGCAATCCTGACAATTTCTTTTGAGTATTAATAGGTAAATAGGACTCTAAAACTGAGAAAAAACACTGAGTTAAAAAGAATTTCCTTTCAGCCCTTTAGGCTACAAAACAGAAAGTCTTAAATATTTAAAATATTGGCTTTAGTCTGCTGGCACCTGCTACTGTTTTTGAAGGGTTTTCACAAAGTGCACATGCGAACATTTATTTCAGTCCTATAGTGAATCACACTCTGAAACTGGCACAGATTATATTCAAAACCAAAAGCAATTCCATAAACTACACACCAGCAAGGCAGATGCAAAGGTTGTCTGGACTACAGTACAAAGCACAATTTAGCAGCAGAATAAAGCTAAAAGCTAGACAAGCAAATTGACATCAGCGGCCTTGCTAATCATAGTACAAAAGCGCCTCTATACTTTGTCCAAGTGCAAAATGAGCTCACATAAATCACCCTTTGTTATTTGAAAATATCTGGGATTCTTAAAGCTTGATCTATTTTTAACATTTCAGTATTTGTCGCTGCAAAGAAAGCTGTGACTGCCCCACTGAAGCACAGAATATTGTGCTATTTGTGTTATATGTGGAAGGAAGAGCTTTTACAGCAACAGCTTTCCAAAGAGCAATCTCCAAAAGTGAGAAAGTGAGAAATACGTACTTATGCAAGTTTTATCCTTTTTTTTTTTTTTTTACCCATTTGGGCATTTTTGTTTGAAAATTTTGTTTTCTTTTACAGAAGTGCATGCTACAAACTATTTCTCATAATCACTCAAAAAGATGCAACCAATTTACAGCACAGGAAAATTAAAGGAACTAATTATTTATCTGTCATATAACTTATGTTATTACCAGCCATACATTATCAAACACTGGTTTTCTGTGCCAGAAGTCAATTGCTTTGAGAAGTCGAAAAAATACCTAGAATATGATTTAAGTATTTTGTAGTTATTTAATTCTGGAAAGAAATTTGAGCAAATATTTTTAAATGAAACATTCACTCAAATATATAAAATATCTTATTAATACAAATATGGTTTAGTAATATATTTTATAAATATAATAGGACTTAGCCTCTAAACACTGCTTGCAAAGCCAATACCTAATTCAGAAGAAAAACTGCTCCTGTTGTAAGTGTTGTAAGGCAAAAATCATGGTTATCAAGTTCACCAAAAGCCTGTGTAGGCTTTGTAAATTATTACAAAACACAGTTTAGCAAGGTTTGCTGCTTTTCCCTCAGTCTAAGAAAGGCCTTGTGTGCCTTTCAGCTTGTTTTCTCTCCTGGGCTGCACAGCACATCAGCTGGCCCAACACAGGACCGGCCAAACATTGTCCTGCCTCTGTCATGAGACCATCACAGCTACAGAAACCAGTCTGTTTACTTGCTTTGAGAGAGGCTGAAATGTGACAGGCTGCTCACCCACAGAGCATCAAATGATCAAGGGAACAGTGGAATTCTGTATTTTTTACACAGCATTTTGAGTAGGGTACAAAGTAAAACCAAGACATATCAATGATTAGGGTTGATTTTTTTTTACTAAGATGTATGCAAACTGCTGATTTCAATGTGAATGTAGAAGCTAAGAAATTGATAGAAAGCAGCATGCAGGAGTGTTAGGGTTTAGTTGGTTTTTGGCTTTTTTTTAACTAGTCCATACTACTGTATACAGTACACAGAATTTACAGTATATTCTACTTACAAGAGGTGTACCTGTTGAAGAAGTTGTAGCTATACTTCCCTTAATCTTTACATTTATGGATTATTTTCCCCTCCTCTCTCCTCATACACACTCAAGATGTACTTCAATCAGTAGTTCAAAGATGTAGGAAATAGGAATGCATACATCAACGGAAAGGGAAAGGTAGGAGGAAGGGGCAGGAAAGAGCAGATAATTTAGATTTTTCAAAGGACTTAACCTTCCATTTAGATCCCCTTAAGCGGTTTCTCAAGAGGCCAAAACGATTACATGACATGTTAAAATAAAAGCTTAGAGATGTTTAATCCAAGACAGCTTTTTGTGGTCCATTTTTTACAGATTTAGCTCTCACATGGCAAAGTGACTGTTTACTGATAAACTGATCAATTACCCTTCTGCAATTTCCTACTATTATTACCCACCATTCTAAGGCTGCTTAAAACTGATTTTCCTCTTCTAGCACATTTGCTGCCATTTTTCTTCTGGGTAGCATCCAGTCAAAAAAACCTATCAAAACTTCTGAGAACTGGCTAAGTCAAAGACAGCTCCTTACACTCCACCCCAGTAACACTGCTAATAAATATTTTCCTATATATGACCAGGAAACCCAAGA